AGTCAACTGTAAAATGTATGACAAAAAGTAAAATGCAAAAAGCAAAAATAATAGTGATGTCACATTTCACAAATGTTTGAGTATAATCTGTGCAAAGCATAATCAACTTGAATGAATTTGTAATTGAAAATAGAAAGATTAGATGTCCATACAAATAACTACGACATGAAGCAGAAGAGTGTAAGTTCCATAATAAAAAAAAATGAACAACTGGCCTGAAGTTAGAGGACAGGTGATGCCCTTGTAACATAGAAGGGTTTAAACTTGTCCTTATAAGAAGAGGGAATTTATTAGACAAGACACATGAAGAGTAAACAGTGTGAAGACATGGGGATAAGATGGTCATCTACCAGACATGGAGAGAGGACTGACACAGACCCTTACCTCACAGCAATCAGAAAGAACCAAGCCTTCTGACACTTTGATCTCCAACTTTCAGCCTCCATCATTGTGAGAAAATAAATTTAAAGCCACCCAAACTATGGTACTTTGTTATGACAGCCCTCACCAACTAATGACGCCTATCATACAGATGTCCTAAAATATCATTTTGAGCAGGTAGCACTTTGCTGAGAATTTTTTATCTTGGACCTGCATGAAATCCAAACCCTTCAATATTCTGCACAGTTTTTCATTATCCTTTTACCCAATTTTATATCTTGTTTAATAATAATGTCCTCAGTTTATTAACTGACATTCCTAGCAATAAATCTTTACTTCAGATAATAGTTATTATTTTTACTATCACAGTTTATTATCTATTAAGACTTTTATATTAGCTGACACTGTTCTAAGAGCTCTACATGTGCTAGCTCATTTAATCCTCACAGCTCTACAGAGAAGGCAGTAAGATTATCATTCCCATTTTATAGATGAGGAAACTAAGGCACAGCAAGCAAGTACCTTGCCGCAAAACACACATAATAAATGGCTGAGGCACTATTGGATTCTAGGTGCAGCAATTACATGTTCCATGCTCCTACCTGCTATAATAATAATAGTAGTAGCAATAACCTCATTGAACATTACTATGTGCCTAAGCATTTTATATACATAAGTAGTTTAATTCTTACAATAACTATTGGATATACAGTATATTATTTTCAATTTCCAGGTAGAAATTAGAGGTATGTAGGGGTTAAAGGATTTCCCCAAGGCCACCATGGTAGTATACTGTGAAACAGACTCCACTCCAGGCAATCTGACAGGAAAGCCTCTGTTCTCCACCCAGATCCTGTCTCCCAGAAAGCAAGTATCTCTCATTCTACCTTTCTGAATGCACCGGCTCTTCTAAACTCAATTCAAAATTCTCTGTTAAGCCTTCTCTAACCTTTCCGGCTGATAGTACTTTCTCTCTTTAAAAATCTCTAAAGCAGAATATACTTTGCCTAGGATAATGGATGGATGGGAATGTTTAATGATATGTTGCTGAGTATTAATATTATTTCTCTGGTTGATGCTTTATCTCTGTATTTCAATCACATACTTTTGAGGGCAGGAACCCAACATAAAGCTTCTTAGCATTGGGGATAAATTCTCAATTTTAACTTTAATTGAACTGTCTTTAATTTCCTGTTAGATGTTTCAGGGCATTTATATTAGTTTGTCACCTATTCTGTCACTGAAAGTGCATTGACAAGTCCCTAAAGGCATTCAAACTTACCAGAGTCTTTCTTGTTAGACATTAGAATTTAAATTAATTCTTTAAAGAAATTGATATGATCGAATATTTTTTTCCAGAGGGCATCAATTTTTCCACTAAGAAACTACAGCTAAAGCTCACTGATATTCATGTTTTCTCTTTCGTAAAATACTAATCTGCAATATCATATTTTATTTATTTTATGACTCTATGATGTCAGGACAGGACAAGTTGATTATAGTTTTAGTTCAATTTGATTTGAAATGGGACAGAAATACCTAGTGGCAATCTATTTAAAGCAATCCACTTTAAATGCTTATCAGTATTCATTTTTGGTAAATTATCACATTAATATATTTTTCTTTATATAGTTTTCTCTTTAGCAGAATTCAGTCATATTACAAATTCTGAAATAAGAAATGACAAATTATCCAAGCTATAACATTAATTTCCTCTTCTGAACTTGCCAAACCATTAAATGCTGGAAACAGCTATTAATAAAAGAGTAAGATATATACCTCAGTAAATCTTTATTCAGATTCTATCAATATTAACATAGTCTATTTTAAACTTCACTGATACTTTTCATTTGTGATTTGAGTTTGAAACTTTTGTTATTTCCAGAAACCAACCTAATTATAACAAGTACTATAAATTTAATGAATATTTATACATGCACATATATATTTTATGTACATATATGTACACATAATATAATCTGCCAATATGCTCCTAAAAAGAATATTAAATCATGATTCTAGTTATGCTTCCCAGTGAATCATAGATACATTTTTATGTTTCACTAAAGTAACACTAATCAACAGTTAAGTTTTGTGACTTGAGCTCTAAATGTATAGAAATATATGAAATGAATAGAATTGATCAATCTGTTGTCTTGCTGTAATAACAGGGGGCTGGCATCATGGCTGCCCCTTGTTTCTGGGTAATCTCTGATGTGACTGACCATGACATTGACTACTACACAGAAGCTCTGCTGCAGGGCTGGCTTGGAGGAGGCCCAGGAGCCCCTCTTCTCTACTATGTAAACCAGGCCCGTCAAGCTCCCCGACTCAAGTATCTTATTGGGGTTGCACCTATAGCCTGTGGCTTGTCTGTCTCTCAGCAGTAATCCCTTGGAGCTGTCTTATTGATGCTGGAAGCCACATGACTATTCTACCTCCAAGCTTAGATTTAATCCTTAGGATAAATCTTTTAAAGTGATTTTCCCCAGTGTTTTATATGAAATATTTCCTTTTGATTTAACTTCAATATAATAAAGATACAGCACTTAAAAACCTTAAGTAAAATTAACATAATTATAATATGCTGAATAGATTTGAAATGATCATTTGTCTTGATTGTCCTTACAAAATCTTTTTACCACATAATTTATCTTTCTACCTATTGCTTATCTATATCTTTCCAGCATAACACAGATATTGTAGGATGCACAGTTCCAAAGAATGATTGCTGCAAAAAAGTAAAACACACCACATTTCTTTCAAAGCATCTCTAGTTTGTATTTACTAGTTCAATTTTCAGATTTAGCCTTTTCTCAAGACTGTCACATCTTACACACACACACACACACACACACACACACACAAAACAAAGAAAGAAAAGATGAAATTAAACCTCATGTGTGATTTACCATTGGACTTAAGGATAAATTCTTATGTTACATGTTGTAATGGTTACAAACTGTAAAGTCTCCTCACATTATTTCTCCAAGTAGCTGACTTTGGCAATTTGTCTTTCTATAAAAATCCCTTCATTGTTTATTTTTTCCAATGTAAGAAACAAGTCATTGAAATTTTCAACACTTGGAGACTTTTTGAGAGAGAGAAACTTGTGTATACTCCACATTGGGGTGACCTAACCTCCAACAAGTTGCTGCAGAAACTCCTTTTTTTGTTACTAAGACTCAAAAAGGAATTCATATTTACCTATCTACAGAATAGATACATGGATACATAATTACATAGAAATCCATAAATCTATGAATGTGCTATTGAAGTTATCTTAGGTCCACAAAGTTTGTTGAGTATAATAAACTTTAGCCTTTTCAGAAGCATCAGTACCTTCCTGCATCTTGAACTGCGTTTTGTAAAAACAAAGTATTTCAATAGTGATTCTTTCTCAGTATAGTGCTGAAATAAAAGGCAGTGTTCTACAGTAAATAGCATATGGGCATAAGAACTAAGAGACCTAGGTTCTAGTTCTGGCTCTACTATATCAATTAGCTATATGACTTTCTGTGTTTACTCATCAATAAAACTGGGATAATAGTATTTGCCTTACTTGTCTTAAATGGTTGGGATGCAGAGTAAATCCAAGTCTCTGCAGTGGCTTATCAAGCTGCATTGGAACTTGCCCTGTGTCTAACTCTCTGACCTGATCCCCAGCCAGACTTTCCCTCACTGGCTCAGCTCTGTTGCAGTCACACTGGCTTCCTTATTGTTCCTTGACTATTCAACTTAAGGTCTCTGCACTGACCAATTTTTCTCCACAGAATGCTGTGTCTCTGACAGCTTCAAGCTCACTTTCTCTTTTCCTCACATCCTTTAGGTTTCCACTCAAATGTCACTTCAATCAATGAAATATAGTGTTCCCAACTTTCTCTATGTGTTTATTCTTTTACCTATTGATCAGTTCATTATTTGTTCGCTTTCTGATAAAGGGCAATCTCAAGGAATATGGGAAATTTTGTTATCCTTAGGAATAACAACAAATAAAATTTTTTTCTGAATCACTCCACATAAAAATTTAGCAGTGTGTTTAGTTGGAAAGTTTGTATCGCTGCTTTTTACTAATTAATGTGAAACTATGCAAATATTATTTTACTTTTTATGACATTAAATATATTTTCAGATACATATATCTCATAATAATTTATCACTGTATAGTAAATTATGCTTTTAACATTTCTATAGTTTGCCTCTCTTAATTGCTCAAATATTCAAACCATGAACTAATTTTGTATAATGCTTCTCTGAAAAGACAGTTTATGCACTCCCTTTGGAAGTAAATTGATTTCTTCATTAAAAGCAACATATTATGTTTCAGGACTTTAATATGTCACAAGCTAAGCTGAGAGCACAGTGTTATTTGCTCTGATAAAATACTTTTCAAATTGGTCCTGGGTTTTCGTTAGACATGTTTGTGTTTGTCTCCCTTACTGCAACACAGTATGGTGGAAAGCAGAGACCATATCTTATCCATTTTATGATTTTCTAATACTTTGTACATAGCAGGCCCTTCATAACTATCTGGTTAATTTATTGAATATAGGCATTCATGCAATGATAGTTAACCACCCCCTTCTTTAAGGAGAAATAAAATGAAGGACCTTACTTACATTTAGAGCCTGTTGACCCACTGGCAGTAGATCTCGATCCACCTTTCATGGAAAAGACTCCTTTCCCCCTGCGAGTCGTCGTGACTGCCACTCTGGGACGCTTCAGTGGAATTACTGCACGGGGAGGTGGAGGCACACGCCCGTGGTAATCAAATAACCTTTACAAAACACAAATGGGACTGAGAGTTGGTTTGATACCCGAGAATTCTATCAAATATGTGAAATGATTAACAGAATAGCCCCGTAGAAAATTTCAATAAATGTTTTCTTTCTGCTGTTGTTCTCTAATATTCAAGATGCAGCTATTATTTGGCAGATTTAATTTTCACTAAGAAAATGGAATGCTAATATAGTCTATGCTTTCTGGACTTTAGAGTGTGACCTCCAAGAGGAACTCATTTGTAAGGTATGAAAGGACTAGGAGCTTTGCTCCAACAGTACCATGCAATTTGTTGAAATTATGCTGACCTTCATCCCTAAATATACTTCTTTGCTTGATAAAACAGATTTACACTTCTTATGAACAGAAATACTCCTCTTACACGTCAAACACTTATTACCACATTAGTTTAAAAGAGGAAAGGATCTTGCAGAACGGGAACAAAGAAATAAAATTACTGGTCAAACAATAAACAGCCCAGCAAGATAAAAAGTAAAACCAGCTTAAAGAAAACAGCTATGAGAGACAAATCAATATGGTGCTTCAGCTCACTCTAAGAATCTTTTCAGTAACAAAAGGCTCCTCTGATTGCAGACAAAAGGAGACAGTTTGAATGACATGGAGCTAGCATGAGGACAAAACTTTGTTGACTGCTTATGGTGGGAAGTATTTATCAAGATATCTTTTAATTATTCTGACCATTTGCTAGATGTGCAAATTGAGACTAGAGATATTTTTATAGTTAGATATTACAAGCATATTTAACAAAAAATCATAAAACTTAAAACCTTTGCTGAAAAGTGAAAAATGATATTCACCACAATCAATGAATTTCCATTAAACAAAGTATAAGGGTTAACTCATTTATAAAAATATGTAATTCATAGATTCAAAAGCTTCATATTATTTATACTGCATCCACATATACAACAAATTTTTATATGACAGAACATATGAGTAACCTAAAAGGTCAATGAAAAAATACTGGGATACATTTACTCATTTTCATGACTATTTTCCAGTGAACCAGACATGTAAGTACATTATTCACTATAAAGAAAATAGCATTATTGACTTAGAATTATAATTGTTACATATTTTATTGTGACAGAATAAAATATTGGATTACATTCTTATAATTACTTTAAAAAGTCAATAAAAACAATCTAATATGGAAGTCAGAAATGAGAAACTAGAATGGGAAGAAAATAAAAAAAACTTCTATAATAGGTTAATTGATAAAATTACATCTTGTTTATACATACAGATGAAAATGTGATAATCTCTTTTTAGGAAATAATATATGAAATACAATAAAAGTTAAGATAGATTGGTTTCCAAATATTCATTTAGAGACATTTAAAACTATTATACTATGGGGTGGGGGAAGCGCAAAAAGCACTATTAAACCAAATTTAAAGCAAAATTCCTTAGTACTAAGAATATTTCCTACATTAGAGACTTAGGGTATTCAAAAACGATTTAGAACATGCTGGGGAAAAAAACTAAGAGATATCTGGAAAAGAAAAGAAATGAAATGAGACAGAGTTCAAGAGAGGTGCCATCTTCTGTGAATAAGCAAAGTCCATTAGAGCTGAAGAACAGCTAGCAAAGAATAGGTCATGGATGTCAACACATAATAGTTTACTTCAAAGAGCACAGGCAGGATGAGGCTGAAAAGGGTTATGAATATCATCTATATCACTAGGGGCTTGAGAATCAAAAGGGTCAGCTAGACCTGCCCCTCATTTCAATCACAAAACAAGGTCTACATTAGTTATTTATAAGTTGAATTCACAGAGCACCTTAAGTCAGTGAACCAAAATACAAAGGCACTTTGCATGAGCTCTATAACACCCAAAACTATTGAGCGAAAAGAAAATATGGCAATCGACTGATCTCTTCTAGAGTAGAAGTTGCTATTTGAAATGAAAGGCAAGCTTTTTTAGCAGGACCATTTCCCTAGGACACCAATGTGCAGTTTTACAGGTTCATTAAACAAGCCAATCTATAAATTGGGTTAAGAAAAATCTCTAAAACACAATCAAAATATATAATGATGTAGGAGTTCTATAGTAAAAATACAGGCCAAGTAAAGTTCACTACATTCACTGCTACTTTAATTGCAATATAATTTAATACTATGTTTATAGGGAAGAAAAATGTTTATCGATATTTCTATTGCTTCCCCCAGCCAAGGATTACCAAACCTTCAACGGTGGCATGGCCTGATCTTATGCTGAGAAAGAGCCATACTTGCTCACTGTATTTATGATATGCTTTTAGTATGGGGCATACATTTTAGTAATCTACATAGTATATTACTAAACAACTTTCCTTTGGTATAAATTCCTATGGTGAGTGGCCGGTTCTCTGAATATTTTGGTGAACTACTTCAAAGGAAAATGACTAGTTTTCTTTACTCTCTCTTTTGGTTTTTTGAGACAGAGTGTCACTCTGTCACCCAGGCTGGAGTCCAGCGGTGTGATCTCACGACAACCTCTGCCTCCTGGGCTCAAGCAATTCTCCCACCTCAGCCTCCCAAGTAGTTGGGACTACTGCATGCCACTGCACCTGGCTAAAGTTTTTTGTATTTTTTGTAGAGATAGCATTTTGTCGTATTGCCCAGGCTGCTCTCGAACTCTTGGACTGAAGTGATCTGCTCAACTTGGGCTCCTAAAGTACTGGGATTATAGGCATAAGCCACCAAGCCTGGCTGGATGACTTGCACCAAGGAATCAAATAACGTTTTACCGATTCTTTGGTAAAACTTTGATGGGAAGTTGGGCAGCATCAGGACTTAAATATTTTAATGTGATAGGTCATTCACAAAACAAAATTGGGAATGGGTGAGGCAGGAGAATAGGGTCTGGAGGCAGGGAACCTAAGGCTGTTTCATGCTGACTTCCTAGAACTAAACAAAAAGGAAAACCCCACCTTTCCATGCCCAAGTAACAAAAGGACCAGAGTCTACTCCCTTTGCACCCCTCCTCATCCCACCACCTTTTTCTGAATGGCTGATGAAAAATTGAAAGTACCTCTGATTGGTCCCCTTCCACAACCAATCAGGCTGCTCGTGGGCAAAGTCTTCATTTGCATAGGGTATACATTTGTAACTTCACTTCAGCCTCTGATTGGTCCCCTTACACAACCAAGCAGACTGACCGTAGGCCACTACTTAATATACGTAGGGTGTACTCCAAGCAACCGATGGGGAAACCTGTAGAGGGTATGTAAACCCCAGAAAATTCGGTCACCAGACTCTTGAGCCCTTACGGCTCGGTTGGCTCCCACCCTGTGGAGTGTCCTTTCATTTTCCATAAATCTCTGCTTTTGTTATTTCATTCTTTCCTTCCTTTGTTTATGCATTTTGCCCAATTATTTGTTCAAGAACCTGGACATCCTCCACCAGTAACATGGGCTAACATGAGGGCATAATTTTTAATTTTACAACTTTTAATGGAGCTGAAATCTTTCTTAATTTGCATTGGGCACTCTTGAGTTAATTAGAAATAAAAGGAAGGAAGACTGGATGTTGTCCTAATGTACAAAAACATAACAAGACAAGGATAGAAAGAGGGGAAGACTTTCTGGGATTGCAAGACGGGATACAGGGGTTCTTCAAAATGCAGAGGGAAGTAGGTGAAAGGCAGGCCAAGAAAGGCATTCTTATCAGAATTCTGTCCACAGTAAATCAAAGAAATTTTGCCTTTATCAAATATTAGATTGGCAAATAGTATTGAGACTAAGGAACTAGTTCATTTAAGATTATAGACTGACAGTAGAAATGGCAATCCAGCAGAATTAAATGGAATCTAAATCTCCAGGCTAGTTAAAAGCTTTAATTTTTTTCCTTCCTCTTGTTTTTCTTGTTCCTTACCCTTTTGGAGTTATATTTCCTCTCCTTTCCTTTAATAGTCCTTAATTTTCCCTAATATTTCTTGGTCAGGATAATTTTCTCCCAAATGCTTATCAAATAGATAATGGTTTCTAATGAAGCCAAACATATAATAATAATTCTTTCCTCAAGGTCTCTTTTACAGTGAAAACTCTAAAACACCTGCTGTCAAGTAATAAATTTTAAAAATTCAGTCCAATTTTAATAAAACCAATTCATGAAGACAATTTGAGAATTTAATTTCTTCATTTAATAAATGTTTCTATTTTCTAGGTACCCTTTTCTTATTTTGCCTTTTAATGCTTTAAATAATATCTGACATATGTAACTTTATTACCTAGCAAAAGCTAAAAACTGGTAATATTAATTTTAATATTAGTTGATTTGATAAAATAGACATAACTTTTCTCTAGGAAGAATAAGGACATTTGATTTCATCCACTGTTTTTAAACAGTAATTGTTTTTGGACAGAGGCAATTTTAAAACTAAGTGCCTTTTGGACAAAGGCATATTAACACAGCAAATAAACATAATTTTAATTGTCTTTTAAAAATAAAGAGCTTGTCATAAGCTTTAAAAATAATAAAGTAACATTTTGGAAAAAAAGTACATAAAAAAACTATAAAACTCTGTCTCAGACCTCAGAACAACTAGTATAATCCTTTAATCTTTTTTCTATAAGCTTCCATATTTTTCACATAATTGAAAACATAATATATGTACAGTCATGTATTCTAGCTCGTTCTCTTTGGTTTATATTAAAAACATTTCTCAGGCCTGTTAAATGGTCTTCTTAATGTTTATTTTAATGGCTGTGGTGCATTTTCTCAGGTAGATACACCACATTCTAATAAATCATTACCTGATGGCTAAACTTCTGACTTGATACTTACATTTTCCTGTCAACAAACGTGGTTTCAAACACAAGAAAAGAAACTGGAAATGTAATATATGTGTAGTATTTTACTACTGAATATTAAATTTTCATTTTAGATTAGTAGTAACTTTAAACATTTCCTGGTATTTACCTGTTTCTAAATTGCCCTCATGAAAACAATTCTTCCTTTTCTCTACTCATGAATCAAAACTTATAGTTACT